GGGGGGGGGGGGGGGGGGGTATTCAGGAGGAAAGAGCAGTGGAGGGTGGTTCTAACACTTTTGTCGCTAAGGGTGGTAGGATAGGGGCGGGAAAATTTCGACCCTACCGATACCAGCGGTTTCTGTGACGGGCGAACTATCGTAAACACGTACTTCTATGCGGCACTTGGTGATTTTTGAAAATATTCACAGATTTTGATAGTGTTAAGTTTTGTGCTTGTGGAAAATTCGTGACGTTCACGATCGTAGAAATTAAACAAAATTCGGCTGCGTCTTTGATTTATTGTATCATACATAATTGGTAGCACGGTTTACGTTAACGACACAAAACAAGAATCTCTCTCTAAAACTTATTTTTTGTCTGTTATCCTTGGCGGATAGTTTTTATATTCAGAGTTGTCATTAGTAGAAAGATTTATCGAATCCAGATACATATGATAATACGGTTGAAATATAGGTGGAAATAATCGAAGATCAAAAATCGTCTTTTGTAAGTTATAATATCAAAATAAAGTCAAGTCCCATACATCATTGACTAATATACTTGACATCGTTTCAAACTAGCGGATAAAATTTACTATTAACTAAACAGCCTATAGACTATACATATACTGGTTGCTCCAATCTTAGACAGTAAATATATACGCATATATTAGATTCGTTACTTTTATTCCCTCAGATACTCACCACTTTACTCGCCAGCATCCCCTGGAACAAATAGAAACTTACGTAAGCATTGAATCAGTACCTGGCATATTTCTTAAACGCACTAAAATCTACACGTACTAATATTTACTGCTATGAAAAATTGCAGCTATCACTAACGTTTCCAAATGTTCGCATCAATATTTTAAAAATATTTCTAGTCGCTATAGCAAAGCCCTACATTATTTTGCAGGTATAAAAATAGTAGCGCGATAAGGTCGACATTTTAAGAAATAAATGTCAGTCCTCATCCCTCTATCAGCAGTGTCCTGAGCTCCATCCACAATGACAGAAAAAAAAATACAGGTAATTATTAGAAGCATTTATGACCTATCAAAATAATGAGCGAGGTCGAGTCAATGTCTCAGCAGGATACCTTTAGGTGAATATACATAATGGGGCTTTCTCTCTTAACCAAAACTCGATTTGACACCCTCTGCCAAGTACCTGTTCCCTCTACGAGAGACTCACGAGCCGAAAGCATGTTCCAAAGAAAAGGGGCAGGCGTGGTCCTCAGGTAGGCCCTACATAAGACCCAAAATAGGGTGTGGGTTGGCATGTGGAAGGTAGGTACAAACTAACCCCCTAAAACTTAGTCTATGGAGATGAATGTTCCACCCCTGTGCTCTCCCCCCACCCGCTCGAAAGTATACCAGCGTCTTTTGAGAGGCCGACCGTCAGACGATATCCAATATGGCTTCGTATACAAAAGAAAAATGTCCGCGTTCCTTTGTTGTCCTCCCGCTATGATCCATATCATGTGCTGGTGCAGCGAGAAGGGGTGTAGGTACATATACCGACTTTAAAAGGGCATACCAACCCTCTCAAATGAAAAACCTACGCGTACCAGAAAGCCCTCTTCTGCTTTAGACTCATAATAAATAACTCATTCACATGGATAAGGCAGAGGATATTGTTTCCATTATAAGTTAGATACGGTTTCACGACAGTGATCTAAGGATCCCTTTTAGTTAGGAAATTCAAAAACCAGCTGGCTACACTCGAAATCACTTCGGATTTTCTCGTTAAGGTGAATTAGATCTACGAAGTGGTTTTCGTAGCCACGAAATGTTCCCGGTTTACTTTAATAGTTTTGATCATTTCCATACTATTCGAATGCTCACGTATTTACGCCTTTCCTTTTTTTTTTATTACCCACGATTTTTTTTTTTCTTCTTCGTAAAAGAATCAACCAGTTCCTTAGGGCTGACTTTCGAACGAGAATCCCGATTACCATTTACTTTAATTAAGCAGCGTGTCAGGGACGCTGCTTGGTACTCTTACCCGTATGAGCCTTTCCGATCGTCAATGTCGATTTCCTAACCTGCCTGTCCTTCGATATGGTGCACTAAGGAGAACACGCAACTACAGAGTGCAATGCCCCATAGAATGCAGTTACTAATGGCAGCTCGTATAGCCACCCATGACGGCTAAGAGTGAGGCCGCCGATCCATACGTGACTCGCTGTTCTCTGATCGATGGATCGTTCAGGATCCTGCAAATTCTTTGCACGTATATCTCCCTGGTCACCTACCGCATATACTCGCCATGCGCTAAGATGAATTGCTTACATGTCATTCATATCTAATGAAGCGGATTCCTCGCGATTTGTTTTTGACACGGAATCGCTCTCTGAGGACTGCGTACTTTCCGTATCTAGAGTGTTTAGAGAAATTTTACGAAATATTAGGGCTGGTCATTATTTTCAAATAAAATATACACCTTTGAGTATATTACGTGGATTCTTGTAAAGTTAATTATTACGTTGTTCACAATTAAGGCAATCCAAATAATACATGCAAGTGTGTATGCGGTACAGAGTTTGTATGGAATTGCGTATAGCGTTGAAAGATTTATGAAAATTGAAGAGTCTACGATAAAGAAATTTTTTAGCATGGCAGTGAATATAATTTTTTTCAGTACTGATGGGAATGTTTATTGAAGTCGAATTTACCACGCTGCTGAACTAAGCGACGCTCATGCGACAAGTATAATTCTTGAATGTATCTTTAGAAGGGAACTGGAGCACCTCTGAATTATGAGCCATGATTGGTCTCTTGATGCGACGAAAAGTAGGAATATGAATGAGGTGCAGATTCAAAAATAACATAATGCTATGTATCGTTGCGTTGAAAATCATAATTATCGTTTCTTCTGTACAATTTTTTAGCGTCCTCAAGCATGTCTTTAAACGTAAACACCAAACTGCAGTATTCAACAATTAAAATAACCATGTACCACCGACAGATAAATGCTGCCCATAAATGGAAGAAGATAAAGACATCTCCACGTCATAACACTATTGTTACCCACAGCGTTTATGGAAAGATGGAAAGATAGCAAAGAGAAAAAAAATGATTTAACAACACCTTCCATACACACCATATATGGAATGTCTAGATAGTAAATAAAATTTTTAAAAATACTACAAGCAACCTGAACTCCTCAAACACATTCTTCAGATTATCTGACGCGGTGAAGAACCCATCGCTGAAAAACCGTATTTCCACCGTATATAAATTTCAAAGTAATTTACGTCTATATACTTATAGCTGTAACCAATAAGTCGGTCGTTTGCTTTACAGATAGGACTAAATTTCAACAAAGTTCAAACGATACGCATAAGTTCTGTAGCACTAGGTACTATGACAGTCGTGGAAATGAAAGTAGCTTCCGTGAAGGGGCAAGCGTGAAAAACGTGCTTGAACTCCTCGGAAGACCGTCCAATTACTTCAATGATTGCTTCTTCGCTTCGTAAAGTATAGTTAACCATGGCCGAAGGTAGACCGTATGTGCATATATATATATTATACATATATACACACCATACGGACCACATAGTTAGACAACGTATGTATGTAACTAGCCTAAGCACCACAGGGTGTAAATTGCGGCTGCGCTAACAAAGCCTAACTCGATCTCAGTGAATAGATGTGCAGGGGATAAGGAAGACGGGACAGGACATATAGGAGTCTGTGGATACGTCAGGGGGCTTCGGAATGCTGAACCCTGCAGCTTGGAAGGACTCTTGAGAATTTTCCGGAGAATCGAGGGGGAGATTAGGAGGGGAAAAGAAGAGAAGGAGAAGAAGGAGGAGCAGGATGAGAAAAAGGTGAGCGGAGTGAGTGAGAACGGACAAAGAAAAAAGAGTAATGGTCGGTGCTTAGGGATACGTACAGGATCGTTTGGCTATCAAGGGGAGACGCCCTGGAGATCGGTAGAAGACACCTAGTGCGCCATCTTCAGGGAGATAACAGCGATTCATCCGACCCTCCTGGTGATTTTCGGGCCTTTGTCCAGACAATCGTCCCAGGATTTGGAAGACATTCAAATGATTTCTTTTTGACAAATTGTCACAATTTTTTGCATGCTGAAAATTGTTGTTCGTCTAATTATTCGATTCGATTATTTTATTTGATGTTATATTTTTGAAAATTTATTCTTTATATGAAATCGATGCACTAACTTTATGGTTAGCTTAGGTTTATCGTGGTGAATTCTTGCGAGTGGTTGGATCAACAGCGTTTTATTTGGTCGTTATCTATTCCTGATGCAATTTTGGAATTGCAATACGAGGTGGGGGATAAAATGAGAACGGCGCCGCGTTACGTTTTACGACTATTTTACTCACATATGCTGTTTATGTTCAAGTAGCGAAATACCACGTTGAAGCACAAGTGGCTCGCAATAAATCAAAAACTTGATCGACTTTCCGCCTGACGTTTTATGGTTCCGTCTTGAGAACTTCAGTAGGCAGTTTTGCCTCTTGCATGTTTTATTATAAAGATACACTGTCTGGTATTATTTCTGATCACAGCAAGATGCTTTTTTAATGTGATATTATCGTTAATTATCATAAATAATCTTCCCAGTCTGTAATCTTTAATGAAGTAACTAACTAGCCCACGTATAATAAAAATCCACTGAATTATATTATAAACAAGCCTGTACCACTGAAATCTGTCCGTGCGAATTTTCGCTACGTTTCTGCATTACCCACTGAGTTTCTTTGACAGTACGCGAAACCTGCATCGTACCCTGCGAGTCCCTGGAATTCGCACAGTTGGTACTTTACCAACGAATAATTTGTGAAAATATAAAAACAAACCTCCATTTTCAATCTTTTTCAATTATCCTCGTATAATTTTATCTTGCCCCTTCTCAACGAATAAACTAAAAGACATTCATTGAAAAATGATAAAATCGACTTTCTAAACCGGCGTAAATCTTCACATACGAAGTCGGCAGTGGCGGCATCCGAAAAGGACCCGCACATCCTTCTTTCCGATTGCATTAAGTATTAACTTGAATTTTTCATTATCTTTATGGCGGTGTTATGAGATAGGATCCTGCAGGTCATTTTACGAATCGTAAGTAAGAGGCTTAATGGTCCTGGAGGATAAGTGGTGTTCCACATTCACTATCGTAACTAAGAGCGTTCATTCGATTTTCTTTATTTGCCGGTCGCGTCCGAGCGAATACCGTATTGCGTAAATCTTCTAGCAACGGAGGGACTTTAATAATAGATAATCGCTGGCTTTATTGACGTTTATCCTAGTTTTACGGTGTCACTTTGGGTCCAGCAAATCCCTGCTTCGCTACGGCACAACTTCAGATAGAAGTGAGAGGCACGAAAATCGTGTTACCACATGGCACAATGGCCAATGTGCTTCAAATCTCAAGTATCCGAGTACCTATGTTATGTACGCTACGTATGCATTCGCCTCCGAAATGCTCACAGCGCCTTGCGAACTTCCTAAAAGGGCTACAACGTTGACTGAATGGTTGGCCAAACTGTATTGCTTTTTATGTGACAGTTGGCCTACTTAAAATTATACTACAGTATAAGTAAACTGAAAGTAAATTTCAATATAGATTTTTAGAAAATTTATTTTTAACACTGCAGTAAGTCGAGTGATAGAAAAGTGTGCGAATCGTGGGAATCTCATGAACGCAACCATTACAATGAGTCGAATGCTCGTGGACGCCAACTGTGAACGCCCCCTAAGATTTGCTCCGCGAGATACGACGTTAAACACGACGATTGAAGGGTGGCAGGGTGGCGCGACGTTAGGGTGCCCGAGAAGATCTGTCGCTGGACGCCGACGTGGCACAGATAAGCACTGATCCCATGACAGTTCGCCATCGTCCTGGACGTCAACGTGTTCTAACCGCGAATCTATACAAACGGTGCAAAGGCTTTCCGGCAGTCACAGTGAGAAGAACTGGACCATTTTCATCCTGCCGAAAATCCTACAGGTATTTTCAAATAAAAATTTCAACATATAATTCCGCATAAGATTCGCTGCATGCAGTAATGAGATTTTTTTTAAATGTCCAAAAATTTTCAATATTTTGTCAAATACAAAATGGCAGAATACGTATATAGACCTAGTGCGCATGTGCGTAATGATACGCAATCACATAGACGGTGTGCCGATTGTAATCGAATGAAACGGTAGAATTTTGGGGTTTTCGTGTTTAACCTCCTTAAAGAAAATAATCGTACAGTTCGTCACCCGTTATTATCGTACGTGTAGCACGTTGCTGATATCAGCACGTGACACGTGACGTAGCCTGAGAGGGATGGAGTGACAGTCCTGCAAACGGCGGGCCACTTAACGACATCAGCTGAGCGGACTTGTGACTCGATGCGTTTTACTGCTGCTTTACGACGGTTTATTGCGCCATCAAAACATAAAATGCCGGCGGGAGCGTGCACGCGTGGGTACACCCCCACTTTACTTTACTACTGTCGCCGCTTGTAGCGACACATTCTCCGATTCCACGCGTGTACCGGGGGCAAGACTTAAACTTATAAAATGCACCGTGATCGCAGGACCAGGTTTAATTGTGGCTCGATGATTCGCACCTGTGCGACCCTTGCGTTACGATTGTTTCGTCAGGGAGGATCTCGTTTGGCTTTTGAAATTTCATATTGAACATGAGGATTTCATGGCTGCCTGTCTGTCTGCTATAGTCAGCCGAACGCAGACTGTTTGCTCATAATTCTATTCTCGAATCTCCATGAAACACCGGGCATTTTTATTATTGTTTTTCCCGTGGATATATGCCGATATCCTTTTATATGCTGGTAGTTATTGCCACTGGACTAATCTTTATGACGTAGGAATTTTTATGGGCTTATTAGACGCTCTTTGAATTTTATATAGGAAATAAGTGGCCGTAATAAAATACGGGATGCGTTAGAAAAACGATTGACGTGAAACGGTAGCCTGTTTTATTAGGCAGAAATAGAATTCGAATTAAAAAATAATAATGACCCGCATCGCCATGCCAGTGCACACGCACGTGTTTTATTTATTAATCGTTAAAGTGAAAATTAATGTCTTTATCAAAACGAAAATATTCGTTACTACGTAACGAGCGTCGTCGATTTTTTAAAATTACGTGAGAACGTGGATATTCCTTGGGTTGAAAAGTTCGCGAAAGAGCTTCGAGCACGAGCGTCCGGTGCTAAGCAAAAAGAAGGCTTTCTGGGCTTGCTCGGTTGAGAGTTCAGAGGGTAGCTGAATGGCGGGGTTTGGAGGGAAGCTGTGCTTTTCTGCGGAAATCAATAATCCCTCTAGCCGGCAGTGCTCCCTCCTTCACTATAGCCACTTCCTACGAGAAATACGTTTGGCGAATGGCTTCGTTTCAACGAGGACAATTCGCAATAGTGACCACTCCTTAAAATCCGAATGCCAACGCGATACGAAACATTGCTGTAATTTAAATGATCAATAATAATTAAATAAAAATGATATACCTACCATTACCATTTCACGGTTTTGAGCATAATTATTTGTATGAAAAATTCACTGGTTATAGTATGATACACAAGTGATATTAATGTCGGTCGTATAGATAACGGTGATATATTTATGACTTAAAGCGATTTGAGCAAAGAAATTATTTTTTGAAAAATTATGATGGAAAAAATATATTTTTTGTCATTTCACACGTAAATTTAAATGAATTTCAGAGATAATATTAAAGAGAGGGACAATAGGGTTAAACGGTCTTGAAAATTTCGAAAAGTTGCAAACATCATAGAGGCATTCTTGAATCCTTGGTGAATTCAGCGTGCGCGACAGTGGCGACATCTCTCGTGGGGTAGTCTGACTACGCTGTGACTGTCTAACCATTCGGTTTGAATCGCTAAACCACCCTGCTGCACCGACAGAACCGACCCACCCGCCAAAGAGCCGATTGGCAAAATCCTCCCTTACTTCGCACCCCGTAGATGCCACGGGAACCAAAGAAATACCACCAGGGGTAAATAGTTCCCCAAAATCACACCAGGGTGCCTTAAAGCGGCCAATTAAAAAAG